TGCAGCATTAAACAGTATGTAAAGACACATAAAAGCTACTTTCAGAAGTGCTTCTGTGCCATCTTTGTAATGAGAATTTTGACTCTAGATCAATCTAGATCAGGTATGAGACCACAGATAACCACATCATGCTGATATAGAGTCTAACAGCATGATTACGAGTGTGATATATAGTTTTTACATAACTTAAATTTCATTCTATGTCACTGACACACTGTCATTACCACCCACTAGCATAACAATGTAACATGCAGAAGGAGCTCAAAAATCCCCACACCTGTCTATAATGATACAAACACCACTTTTGTAACACTCGGCTAATCAAATTGATATATAACAGACATTAATCCATTATTACAACAGTAAGAAGTCAAATGAAAGACTGCTACCATGGCTTAAAAAAGTGTGGATTTTTTCCCCTTATTTTCCCCATTCTTGTTCGGTGATTAATCCATTGTTCTTTCTATGTAAGATGGTCTTTGGAGATTGCATTAAAACCCTGACATCCTCCTTCATACAAAGTGGGTAAGTGCATCATTTACGACAATACATTTTTGGGTATTATTTGATCCTATGTATGCATATTTACCATTTTAAATTTCTGTTTAAAGGTTGGAACAAATTTAATTCTGTATTTGGAGGAGGAGGAGGAAGAGGAGCAACAAAGGCGATACCCTCATGTCCTGCAGTTTTGGGATAAAATCCATCCTTCATCATTGTGGGAGAAATGGCACTGAAGCAAGACCGTCTTTTTACAAGCAGTTGATACATGGTTTCGATTATTTTACATTTTGAACATTGAGTATCCCAAGCCCGTTTCAGCTGTACTAGCTTTGTTCTGTTTGTTTATTTGTGAATTTATCTTGTAAACTGAAACAATTGCAATTAAGCTAATGTGATAAGTGATTAATAAGACAATTTCAACCAATTATTTAATTTAATAGAAGTTTTTGCAACTTTAAATGTAATAGAAATAAAGTGTTTTCAAAATATTTGTATGCTGTGTATTATTATTTACATAGCAACACTAATACTAATAATACTACTAATAATAATAATAATAATACCAGGATGGTTAAAGCAACATTTTGGCCAAATAACCCAACAAATGAGTTATTTTATAACCCAATGCATTGGGTTACTAACTTACTACCCAATCCACTGGGTTAAAATAACCCAACATTAGGTAGGTGCTATAGTAACCCACCATTGGGTTATCTGTTGGGTCATTTTTAACTATTTTAAGTGAGTATATCAGCACACGTCTGCATAAGCATCAGCGCAGACCCTCTAATGCAATCAGATTCAGAGTTTTACGGAAGCTGGTTACTGCCAGGGAATTAAAAAATGTAAAAAAGCAATTGTGACTTTTTATCTTAAAATGCAGACGTTTTCGCCTCAGAATCGCAAGTTTACATCTCTTCAATTCTGACCATGAAATATGAAATAAAAAAGGTAATTTTGAGTTTGTCTCACATTCTGACTTTCATTCCTCAGAACTCATTGGTTTTTTGTTTGTTTGTTTCTGCCACAGAGTAAAACAACAACAACTAATTCTGAGTTTATATCTCACAATTGTTTTTTCGTTTATGCCACTAAATATAAAATAAAAAAGGTGATTTCAATCACAATTCTGACTTCTTTGGTTCCTCAGAATTCATTGTTTTTTATTGTTTCCGCCACAGAATAAAAAATAAAAAGGTGATTGTGACTTTTAATCTCACAGTGACTTTTCCCCCTCACAACTGCAGGTTTAGATTTCACAAAGTTTTTATTTTACAATTCTTATTTGGAATTGTGAGTTTATATCTTGCAATTCTGACTTTTTTTTCTCAGAATTCATTGTTTCTTTGTTTCTGCCACAGAATAAAAAGGGATTTGCTATTTTTGAACTCAACATTCAGATTTTTTCCTCACAATTGCAAGTTTATATCTCAGAATTCTGACTTTTTTCTTGCATTTCTAAGTTTACATATCACAATTCTCTCTTTTGTTTTTGTTTCTGGCATGAAATAAATATAAAATGGTAATTTCCAGTTTTTATTTCGCTAGTTTTACTCACAACTGCTAGTTTATATCTTTTCCCTCTGAATTCATTCTGATTATTTTTGTTTTGTTTCCGACACACAATAAAACATAAAAAAGGTTTTTGAATCAGTGTATCATTCGTTCATTTGATTTTTTATTTAATATTGCAAATAGATAAATGAGAAAATGGTGCCTTTTTTGTTTTTCATTTGTTCAAAATAATCGAAAAACAACGATTCGGCTTGATTTTTCGTTTTTGCTTTCAAAGGTAGAAAATTAATTTGTCAGTCTGGTCGTTTGATGAGAAAGAGAAGAAATGTATTTGTAATAAACGCTTTAAGAATCCATACAGTGGAGGACTTTTATTCTCTGTAAGAACTGATCTTTGGTTGACCAATCAGCAGAAAGGGGCATTTCATTCCCGCTCATGTGTGGAGATCGAATATTCAAGCTGTTTATTGATTTTCTACCTCTGAACGCAAAAACGAAAAATCACGCCGAATCGTTGCTTTTCAAAAAAAAAATTTTTGAAGAAGTGAAAAGCGGAAAAGGTGCTGTTTTCTCATTTTTCTTTTTTCAATATTAAATCAAAAGAACGAATGATACACTGATATTTTTTTGCTACTTTTTATCTCAAAATTCCGATTTTCTTTTTTCTCAGAATTCTGAGTTTACATCTTGCAATTCTGTTTTTGTTTCTGCCACGGAATCTACTTTTTTTTTTTTTTACTCTCACATAGCGAGTTTCTATCTCACCTCTTCCTCCTCGCTGCTGGCCTCTTCCTCGTGTTCCTCCTCCTCTTCATCGTCCTCACTGCTGGAGCTTTCATCCTTCACCTCCGTCCTCCACGTGTTGGGCACAGTGCGGTTACGCTGGAAATCCCACGCTGCATCTAACGCTGTGAAACACACAAACAGCGACAATGAGATCCCAATGTGCTCCATGTGACTGGAATTTTTTTTCTTTTTCATCGGCCCTTCAAACTTTAATTTGAAGCAAAAACATACAAGACATTAGATACAAGACTGTGTAAATAATAGGGTTGCAAAGGGGTGGAAAATTTCCGGGAAACTTTCCAAAAATCCATGGAATATTCTAAAAAATCCTGGAAATTCCAGAAATTTTGGAAACTTTCCAGGATTTTTTTTTTTTTTTATATATATTCCAGGGATTTTTGGAAAGTTTCCGAAATTTACTGGAAATGTTCCACCTTTTTGCAACCCTAGTACATAACGCTTTAATGATGTAAAGAAATACAATCCCATGAAGCTTTGCAAATTACAAAATTTAATTGGATAAATGTAAAAATAATTGATTTAAAGATGTTAATTATGTATATAGAAAAAATATATTTTAGATTTATTGCAAAATATGTATATTCTGTACACCGGGTCAAAACTGCATTGTTGAGAGTGAGAAAAGAAAAGAAAAAAAAGAAAAAAGTGGCATTCATTATAAACCACATTTACTATGAATGGCAAGCCTACACAAATTCATTTAAAGTCAAACTGAAAGCAGCGGCGTGTGGGAAATGCGTTACACGAATAAACTTCTAAATGTGTGTGTTCAGCATGTGTTTTGTGTGCTTTATGCTAACTTCATTAAATAAGTCGCTTTGCAATATAAGCAACAGCACATTTCAGATGATAAAAAAAAATATTACCGTTTTTGTTAATATTTTGAATTCGATTTTATTGTTGCATTTTCTGTTTTCATTTTAAATTTACTTAAAGTTTTGGTCATTTTTTTGTGGGTTTTTTTTTTTTTTTTCATTTTTATTAGTTTTAATTAAACAATTTTTATTTATAAATATTAATAGTTTTTATTTTTTTAATTTGTAGTTTTATTTGATTTAGTTTTAGCTATTTTAATACTTAATTTAAACTAAACAAAAATGAGAAATGTTGCCTTGGCAACTTATGTATATATATATATATATATATATATTCAAGTAATGGAAATGCTTTGTTTTCTTTATGGTTTATAATTATACCCCTGCCCTGAATACACACTGACCCATGCGTCACACTTGTTCTCACCTGGTTTGAGTCCTGCGTCCGCTTTAGGAGCTTTCTCTTCATCCAGCTCTCGAATGGCTTTCCGCAAAACTGTGTAACTATAAGACAAAATACAACACTGTCAGCAGTGATTCATTACACACGAGAGAACACACAATAAATCACCGTCATCTCTGAGTTAATTACTGCTCATATTTCAACACACTGCCGTATGAAACAGCATTCTGACTTTACAATCCATTACGAGTACCATTGAGTATCTACAGAATTTTCTTATTGCATTTAACTGCATAATATGCTTGCAAAGACATGAATGTGACCGTTTAAGAATTTATTCCAGACATCCACATCAAATCAGCATCATCACACTGCTTCCTGAGGGACTTCTTTAAAAATGCACCGAATTTACCAACAAAACCTTTATTCTGGGAAAACAGCGGTTATGTAATCAAGCAACAGGTCATTTCTCAGCACCAGATACGAAGATCGGCTCTTTTTGTTCAGACAAACAACCAATCAGTAAGTCTATCATCCCTTTAAAAGTATTTGGACACCTAAAAATCACAGTTGAAATATCTACACGTCATTTATTACTGTATCTGTGCTGAAACTCTGCAGATGTTTTCTCAGTGCTTTAAATCGGCTGCTGTTTTGCTGGTTTTTAGTGGATATATGAAAACGCAGACGTCCTGAAGTGTCCAAACACCTTTATTGAGGTCATTATTAGCTAGCAGACGTGCCTCTGTTCATTAATATATTTATAAATCTACATGGGGCAGAGATGTCATGACTGTGCCGAAGCAGACACTAGAGGGAGCAGTGAAGATGAGCGCTTACACGAGTACAGAAACCCATTCACAAGCCTTTCATTGTTAAATGATGTCTATGCGCTACATACAGTACAAGAGATTAATACTTTTATTCAGCAAGGACGCATTAAATCGATCAGAAGTGACAGTGAAGACATTTATAATGTTACAAAAGATTTCTATTTCAAATAAATGCTGTTCTTTTGAGCTTTCTATTAATCTGTAAATCATGAAAAATAAAATGTATCACGGTTTTCACAAAAATATCGGGCAGCACGACTGTTTTCAACATTGATAATAATCAGAAATGTTTCTTGAGCAGCAAATCAGCACATTAGAATGATTTCTGAAGATCAAGTGACATGGAAAATTCAGCTTTGATCACAGAAATAAATTACATTTTAATATAAATTCACTTAGAAAACAGTTATTTTAAATTGCAATAATATTTCACAATTTTACAGATTTTACAGAATTTTTAATCAAATAAATGCATCCTTGAGCAAAACAGACTTCAAAAACAAAAATAAATCTTACCGACCCCAAACCTTTGAACAGTAGTGCATTGACTAAATATAAGGTTTTGTGAGATTTTCATACATGAAGCTTGAGATTTTATTATCTGTGTTTGTTAAATAATGCACCACTTTTACAGCTGCTCATTAAAAAGAGAAACTCTAATACGCCATATTAAACATTTGCATGCAACGCAAACAAAAATCCCATAGAAATGCACTGAAGGAGGAACTAAGCAACCCGTATAACGGCGGTTCTCACAGGTTTCATCTTTAAGGAGGTTAATCTGAGATGGGTGTTTAACTACAATATTCTCCGTCTCTCCCTACTTTAGCATTCTGCTTTGTTTAACGGATGATGTGTAAAAACACAGCTATATAAAGCACACGTGACGTTTTCATAGCTTGACTTTTTTGCACCTCAAGAGCTAAAAGTAGAAGCACAGACGGAAATAACTTCATTTGAAAGTTACTCACAATTTTCCATCTTTGAAGGAGCGAACAAAAACGTTGTCTTTCTTCAATGTCACATCTTCGTGACAGTCTGGAGAGATGACCTTTAGACAAGGAAGAGAAACAGAGGATGGATGAGCACGTCAATGAGGGTTCGGCACAGAAAACTGCTAAATGACTAAATGTAAATGTAAAACATCATTTGATGTCGCTTTAGTCACCAAGTCATTTGTCTCCATTTGCAAAGAAAAGTTTCACACACAGTTTTATAAGGAATAGTTAATATTTAATGATTTAAGATCTCTGCTGCTCACCAAGGCTACATTTATTTGATTAAGAATACAGTAAAACCAGTACAATTGTGAAATATTATTACAATAAAAAAAAATTCTATGTGAATATATTGTAAAATGTAATTTATTTCTGTGATCAAAGCTGAATTTTCAGCATCTTTAACTCCAGTCTTCAGTCTCACATGATCCTTGAGAAGTAAGCAAAGGCTGCTGAAAATTCAGCTTTGTATCACAGGAATAAAATACATTATAAAATATATTCACATAGAAAATAGTTATTTTACATTATAATAATATTTCACAATTTTTGATCAAATAAATACAGCCTTGGTGAGCAGAAGAGACTTCTGGCAAAAACATTAAAAGCATTATAATTAATCAAAAATTTTGACCAGACGGGTAGACAGATATTAATGTATTTTTCAGGCCGTGATGTTTCCAGTTCTTTCATGACTGCAGGAACCCATGACAATGTTGTGAAACAAACAAACAAAAAATGATTTGGTGCACCTTGAGCATCCACTAACAACAAAGCCTAAATGACATTAGCGTTTTGAAACGACTGATACACCCCCGTCTTTCAGCAGAAGTCACCTTTGACCTCAGTTGAGCAGCAGGATGGGCGTCACCAAACCCCTGGAGCACATGTCACGGCCGTTCACATTTGCTTTGTTTTCTCTCTGAATGCTGTGATTCTGCCCAGAGCCGTGAGGAGGAGCCAGAGAGCGACGCAAAACACTACGTCAACAACAACAACAACTCACACAGAGCTAGCAGGGATATTTAAAGGGACAGCGTCTGGTTCGCCATGACTCTGTGAATCATCAACTACTGCATGCAAACGAGGGACAGAGCGTCTGTTAGCAGTGAGGACAGACACCGCGCAACACATGCTAATTCAGGAAGGAAGATGTAGTTTAATACCGCAGGAAGAATCTCTCCTGATCATGAGATTTAAAGCTGAAGCATGTCATTTTCTGTATGTTATAATAGCGTTTGGGGTGTCAGGTTAATGAGTCACTGTAAGTCAGTCGCTGGGAGTTTGTTGTCCTGAAAAGGGAAATACCATGATGCTTTTAAAACTCTGATCTGCTTCTGTCTCAGTTAATGACGTGAGTTCTGGATGGGACTATATGGATGGCCTAGTTAAAAATATAATTTAGCTTAAACAGGCATGGAAAACACTACTACTATGACTACATTTACTATACTACTATATTTTATTTTATGTACAGTATAAAGTCAAATTCAATATTATATTACTATATGCATGTAATATAAATAAATATATATATATATATATAAATACATTTTAATGAATTATATATTTATGCACAAAATAAGCCTTTGTAAAAGTAAAGAGTTTCAAATACAGCACCATTTGAATTCAATTAAAAAAGTATATCAATTTCATATACTGTAATAAATGTATATGAATTATATATTAATGCACAAAAATAAGCCTGAAGAGGTTAAATACTAAATATATTTATACTAAATGTCACATCTTCGTGACAGTCTGGAGAGATGACCTTTAGACAAGGAAGAGAAACAGAGGATGGATGAGCACGTCAATGAGGGTTCGGCACAGAAAACTGCTAAATGACTAAATGTAAATGTAAAACATCATTTGATGTCGCTTTAGTCACCAAGTCATTTGTCTCCATTTGCAAAGAAAAGTTTCACACACAGTTTTATAAGGAATAGTTAATATTTAATGATTTAAGATCTCTGCTGCTCACCAAGGCTACATTTATTTGATTAAGAATACAGTAAAACCAGTACAATTGTGAAATATTATTACAATAAAAAAAAATTCTATGTGAATATATTGTAAAATGTAATTTATTTCTGTGATCAAAGCTGAATTTTCAGCATCTTTAACTCCAGTCTTCAGTCTCACATGATCCTTGAGAAGTAAGCAAAGGCTGCTGAAAATTCAGCTTTGTATCACAGGAATAAAATACATTATAAAATATATTCACATAGAAAATAGTTATTTTACATTATAATAATATTTCACAATTTTTGATCAAATAAATACAGCCTTGGTGAGCAGAAGAGACTTCTGGCAAAAACATTAAAAGCATTATAATTAATCAAAAATTTTGACCAGACGGGTAGACAGATATTAATGTATTTTTCAGGCCGTGATGTTTCCAGTTCTTTCATGACTGCAGGAACCCATGACAATGTTGTGAAACAAACAAACAAAAAATGATTTGGTGCACCTTGAGCATCCACTAACAACAAAGCCTAAATGACATTAGCGTTTTGAAACGACTGATACACCCCCGTCTTTCAGCAGAAGTCACCTTTGACCTCAGTTGAGCAGCAGGATGGGCGTCACCAAACCCCTGGAGCACATGTCACGGCCGTTCACATTTGCTTTGTTTTCTCTCTGAATGCTGTGATTCTGGCCAGAGCCGTGAGGAGGAGCCAGAGAGCGACGCAAAACACTACGTCAACAACAACAACAACTCACACAGAGCTAGCAGGGATATTTAAAGGGACAGCGTCTGGTTCGCCATGACTCTGTGAATCATCAACTACTGCATGCAAACGAGGGACAGAGCGTCTGTTAGCAGTGAGGACAGACACCGCGCAACACATGCTAATTCAGGAAGGAAGATGTAGTTTAATACCGCAGGAAGAATCTCTCCTGATCATGAGATTTAAAGCTGAAGCATGTCATTTTCTGTATGTTATAATAGCGTTTGGGGTGTCAGGTTAATGAGTCACTGTAAGTCAGTCGCTGGGAGTTTGTTGTCCTGAAAAGGGAAATACCATGATGCTTTTAAAACTCTGATCTGCTTCTGTCTCAGTTAATGACGTGAGTTCTGGATGGGACTATATGGATGGCCTAGTTAAAAATATAATTTAGCTTAAACAGGCATGGAAAACACTACTACTATGACTACATTTACTATACTACTATATTTTATTTTATGTACAGTATAAAGTCAAATTCAATATTATATTACTATATGCATGTAATATAAATAAATATATATATATATATATAAATACATTTTAATGAATTATATATTTATGCACAAAATAAGCCTTTGTAAAAGTAAAGAGTTTCAAATACAGCACCATTTGAATTCAATTAAAAAAGTATATCAATTTCATATACTGTA